GCAGCAGCCTCCTGTGCCGGCTGGGGTTTGGAGGAGCCGGCAGCGAACGCGGGAGTCCGCATTTATGGCGGATCCCCCAGCTTACGGGGTCGCGGTTTCGCTGGGAAAACCGAAGAGTTTGTTGCAGGCGGGTTAAGAACGTAAACGAGAGTACCTGAGGTGGGAGCGCGTTCGCTTTCTCTGTGGGGTGTCTTGCATACAGCAAACAGTATTCTTAATCAAACCCAGCGTTCTCAACCTTAAAATGCTGCCGTTCTCACCGAACGGTCGGTCTTTTAGCAGTCGAAGCCGTGGAAAGTTCATCTTTTTTGGCGGTGTCGTTCTTTAGTTTGCGCAAGCACAATGAATGCTTTGTCCTAACGGTCTCTAAGGGAAGAAGGAGTGACTGGCAGGGTATGTGTCAAGAGAAGGCAGTGTATGACTGGAGGGCACAGTGTTGCAGTTACAGCTGTGTGTACGAGGAAAAAAAAAAGATCTGTATGCAGCAGGTTTGGCGTAGGCAGGTTATTTGCGTATGGCCACGTGGAGTTTACCAGTCCCATCCCTCTGAAGGAAAAGCTGTGATGGCAGTAACTGAGGTTTGCTAAAAGATCTCCATGAAAAACAGGTCCTTTTGATAGCAGTATCAAGCAATATCTTATAAAAAAGATGGCGGCAGACTTTTTAGCAGGGCCTGTTGCGACAGGACAAGGGGAAATGGCTTTAAACTAAAGGGGGGGTAGATTGATGGTGGATGCCCCATCCCTGGAAACATTCAAGGTCAGGTTGGACGGGGCTCTGAGCAACCTGATCTAGTTGAAGATGTCCCTGCCCACGGCAGGGGGGTTGGACTAGATGACCTTTAGAGGTCCCTTCCAACCCAAACTATTCTATGATTCAGTGCATGAACATTGTAGAATTTTATTCCTAAACGCATGCATATTTCCAGTGCCAAATGCCAAACTGTTGTATTTCAGTACACAAGGATACGAACCCTTCCTGAGAAATGCAGCGTTCGATCCAAACATCAGGTTTGAAGCAAACGGGTTCAGAGGATCTGTTTTGATCCTGGTGTAAATTTCTGGCAGACAAGAGCTCTTGCACTGGTCAAAGGAAGCAGGTTGCCTAACCTGGTGTCTTGGCTCTGGAAGAAAAGGCGTAAAAATTTGCAGGTGATGCAGGATAATCTGTCTCAGAAAAAAAAAAAAATCCCAACTCATAAATATGGGGAGCTCTTCTCAAGTAAAAAACTGCTTTGGTAATTATGCATATTCTTACTGTCCTTTAATACGTCTATAAAATGCTCTAAAATGGTCTTTGCATTGTCATGTACGTGGCCACAATTTGTACAAATGTTGTGGGTACAAAGTAGCTCCGGTGTTTGCTGCGCCATTTCACTGGCTGGCTTCTGGCCACTGTAAAAACCCCGCCTGTATTGCAGTAAAAGTCTGAGTAAAGGTGTTTTCTCTAAGCCATCCATTCATAACTTTCCATGTTTCTAACCCTTATTCCTATCCATTTTCCATGCTTACTTCCTGAACGAGCAGTCAGAATCTTCCAATTACATTTAATGGAAGAAGCCTTTAAAAACAGGGAGGGGGGGGGGTGGGGGGGGGGGGGGGGGGGGGGGGTGTTCCTTTTTTTTTTTCTTTGTTTCTTGAATTCTGTCCCTTCCAGGTGTGTTATTCAAGAGCCTGTAAAGTAACCAGCACCTCTCTGCTAGGTAGGAGCATGCAACTGCTGCAAAACATCACCGCATTTTGTGTTCTCCCCGCGCCATTTTGTATGCGTGATTCACACGTGATTTGTTTTTATTACCAGGCCACTGCTATGCGGTGGCAGCGCGAGGTTTGACAGTGACTTCTGGCCGAGATTCCGCTTGTCCTTTTTACCCTGACCCGATGCCGTTCATTTAGATCTCGTAACATACAAAACTAGACTGAATTCTCGTTGCTACTTGGCATTTTATCAGCCTAAAGCATAAGCTGTGTCTCACGCCTTCACCTTGTACAGCAAAGTACTCCTGGAAACCCTCACTGTTCTGTCACGCTTTCATCTTACTTAACTACCCTCACCTTTACAACTCCTTCGCATCTCCTCATTAATACCTCTGAATACAAATAGCTGTCCCAATAGTCAGAGGTTTTGCTAACCCACTTTTTACTGCTATGGAAAGCGAGCACAGTTCTTTAAAAAGTCAGACTCTTATTTACATAAGGGTAGATACTGGTCTATGCAAAACTGCCCTTTGGTACATATTTTTTCACAAAATACAGTAATTTGTGTGGTTGAATGGTGTTCTGGCTACATCATTCTCATAATAAGCCACTTAAATAATATATAATTTAATGTATTTAAACTATTTTAGGCATGTATTTTCTTATTTACAATTTTAATTATATTAAATATATATGTTTAAACCATTTAAAGTATTTTTACTATTTAAAAGAATAATCTTGTTAAAAACTCAGAATGCTGCAGGGGTGGAGGGGAGTTCCAGATTTTACCACGCTTTACAACTCTCACATATCCTAGTTGGTTTGTCCAACTCTAACGG